TCACCTCAGCCTCCCAAAGGCGCGGGATTACAGGCTGAGCCACCGAGCCCGGCTTCAGTCCTCTTTTGATGGACAGCATGGTTGCTTCCAGGTTCTTGCTATTGTGACCAACGCTGCGATAAACATACGTGTGCAGGTATCTTTTTTATAGAGTGACTTGAGTTCTTCAGGGTATATTCCCAGTAGGGGGATTGCAGGGTCATATGAGAGGTCAATATTTAGAGCTTTTAGGAATCGCCATACTGTTTTCCACAGAGGTTGCACTAGTTTGCACTCCCACCAACAGTGTAGAAGTGTTCCCTTTTTGCCACACCCTCTCTAGCAATTGTTATTTTTTGAGTTTAAAAATAAAATTATTAAAGTGAGTAATTATAAGTTTTCTTTCTTTAAGAGAACAAAATTTTTTTTGGTAGGTTTTTGGAGCATCTACTAAACAAATTGATGTTTACCGAAGTGTTGTTTGTCCAATTCTGGATGAAGTCATTATGGGCTATAATTGCACTATTTTTGCGTAAGTGAAGCACTGTTTTTCAAATTGTTAAAAAAGTTTAGATGCATATATTTGTTTTTTATTTAACACTTTTGTTTAATCTTGACAGATATGGCCAAACTGGTACTGGAAAAACCTTCACAATGGAAGGTGAAAGGTCACCTAATGAAGAGTATACCTGGGAAGAGGTATTTATTGTAGTGTTTATAACATACTTTTGTCTCTAAAGTGGCTGAAATGTAACTGGACAAAACTTGGTTAAAGGCCTCTGTTTTGAAATAGAGAAGCTCAGAGCATCCATACCACGCATAAATTTAGGATAAATTCCTCAAGCAGAATATTGCAGAAATGTTGAAGTAGGCCTTGAAGGAGCATGAGCAAATGAGTCTCAAAAAGTTAGCATAACAAGAGGAAGTATGGTACTTTACTCATGATAACGTTGAGTGCTCAAGAAATTAAGATAAATGTTATTGAAAGCAGGTAGTACATTTCACAGATTTCCATCAAACATGTTTAAATTAAAATGAGGGGTTTTTTTTTTAATTAAATTTTATTTTTTAAAAATTTCTAATAGAGATGGGGTCTTGCTGTGTTGCCCAGGCTGGTCTCAAACTCCTGGGCTCAAGCATTCCTCTCTACTCAGCCTTCCAAAGTGCTGGGATTACAGGTGTGCACTACCATGCCTTGCTTAGATGAGTTTAATAACTAAGTTAGTTGTCTATATTATTGACATTTAGGTAGATCCTTTTACATAGTTCAGTCATTGACTTACTTTATATATGAATAATAAAATTATGGAATTGTAACCATAGAAGATATGGAATAGGCTTAAATCATAGTGTAGTTGGGCAGGATTATTGAACTTGGCTTTTTTTTTTTTTTACTTTTTGAGTTAGAGACTCTGTTACCCAGGCTAGAGCGCAGTGGCGTGCTCACGGCCACTGCAGCTCGGCCTGCAGGGCTCAGATGATCCTTCCATCTCAACCTTCCAAGTAGCGGGAACTACAGATGTATGCCACCACGCCTGGCTAAGTTTTTGATTCATTGTAGAAATGAGGTCTTGCCAAGTTGTCCAGGCTCCTCTCGAACCTGTCGACTCAGGTAATCCTCTCACTACAGCCTCCCAAAGTGCTGGAATTATAGGCATGAGCCACCGCAACTGACCAGACTTGGCTTTTTAAGTTGCTTGCTTCAATTGGTTTCTGTGTAATACTCAGGCATGAACATGGCTAGCAGATATGACATTTATGGAAGGTATCAAGAATACTGTTGAACAAACTTGTAATGACTTATCTAACATTAGGTTAGTTTCTTTTTTTTTTTTTTAACTTACTTGGCATACTTTATATTTAAATGTACTATAAGGGAACCCTTGTGTTTTTTTTTTTTTTGGTTTTTTTTTTTTGAGTTGGAGTCTCACTCCGTTGCCCAGACTGGAGTGCAGTGGCCGCTCCCAGCTACTGCAGCCTTGACCCACTGGGCTCCAGTGATCCTTCCCCCTCAGCCTTCCGAGTAGCCGGAATTACAGGCATGTGCTACCATGGTCGGCTGATTTTTTGATTTATTGTAGAGATGAAGTCTCGTCAAGTTGCCTAGGCGGGTCTCGAACCCGCGGGCTCAGGCAGTCCACTCAGCTCAGCCTCCCAAAGGCGCGGGATTACAGGCTGAGCCACCGAGCCCGGCTGACCCTTGTGTTTTAACGGCCACAGTAAATGACATTCTTTCTTTATATTAATTCTTATTAATGTTATAATTTCAGGATCCTTTGGCTGGTATAATTCCACGTACGCTTCATCAAATTTTTGAGAAACTTACATTCAATGGAACTGAATTTTCAGTCAAAGTGTCTCTGTTGGAAATTTATAATGAAGAACTTTTTGATCTTCTCAGTCCATCTTCTGATGTTTCTGAGAGACTACAGATGTTTGATGATCCCCGCAACAAGGTAACTCAGTCTTTGAGAATGAAATGTCTCCAAATTCTAATGTATGAGGCTTTGAGGAGTTAGTGTATATTTGACCAATGTAATGAATGTTCTTTTGATATTTTGGTCAGAGGGCAGTGATAATCAAAGGTTTAGAAGAAATTACAGTACACAACAAGAATGAAGTCTATCAAATTTTGGAAAAGGGGGCGGCAAAAAGGACAACTGCAGCCACTTTGATGAATGCATATTCTAGGTAAGAAAGCCGTGGTCTCTCTTTACCCCATTCTCTTTTTAAGAAGAATTAGGAACTTGGGAAAAGTCAAAATGGGGTGGGTTATCTAACTAGATTGCGTGTTGTAAGGAGGGATCCCTGGTAATTGGCTTGAGATTTGTAGGAAGGAAACCAATATTGGAAGAATGTTGAAAGGAGAACAAAGACAACTTGAACCAGAGAAGAGGCATTAAACTTTTTTTAAGCAGAAGAATTCCTTTTTTTCAAATGAAATTATGTATGGGAACTCAGATTAAAATGGGGCTGATGTAGTTGATTTTGGGGTGGGATGCTCAGAGCCTTACCCCCTTAGACTTATTGAGGTGATCCTGGGGCCCTTTTGTGGTGCCCATAATGGTAGTAGAGCATAGTTTGGAAACCCTTTGTTTGAATAATGATCACAAGAAAGTGAAATCTTCATTTTAGAAGGGCTTCATTTTAATGTAGGAGTCAGATGGTCACTAACACTGGCTTTGGGGCAAAAGGAACCAGTTTCTTTTCACTGAGTTCCACCGATATATAAAATTTCTATTTCATAAATTGATATAATGTTGGAACTCCTTTTTCCTTGTATATGGATTTGAGTAAAGACACCTAAAGGAGAAATCCCAAATTCTACAAATACCATTTACCAAGACAGGTGATTTTTTTTTTTCTGCTGGTCTCTGAAGAAAACAGCAGGATGTAATGGAAAGAGCTATGGATTGAAAATTAGAAATTTTTGTTTAGTCTCAGTTTTGCAGTTAACCAAGTTGTGACTTTGGGTAAATAAGTGAATGTATCTGAATATCAGTTTTCTTGAGCTGCAAAGTGATTGTTAGGGCTAGGTGTCTTATTTCTTTGCTCCCTTGTAGTTGAAAATTTCTACAAAATGCTATAGCAATTATAGTTGCAACTCTTAAAAACAGCATGTATTTAAAGAAGGAGGAAAACTAACAACATGAAAGTGATCAAGAGTGGGTGATTTCCGAATTTTAGTTAAATTTTCCTTATAATGACTTTCCAATAAAATGGCAATTTTATTCTATAGTTGGTTTATAACTTATTTTGTGTAGAATTTGGAGGAATTGAACTGAAGACTAGGTAAAAATTATTTTTTCCTCTAAGTACCTTTCACGAAAGTATAAATTTTCTATTCTGTAAATTGGTAAAATTTGAGAACATCTTTTTTTTTTTTTTTTTTTTTGAGTTGAAGTCACTCTGTTTCCCAGGCTGGAGTGCAGTCACACACTCATGGCCACTGCAGTCTCAACCTGCTGGGTTCAGGCGATCCTTCTGCTTCAGCCTTCTAAGTAGCTGGAACTACAAGCGTGTGCCACTATGCCTGGTAATTTTTTAATTTATTGTAGCGTTGAGGTCTTGCCATGTTTCCCAGGCTGGTTTCAAACCCATGGGCTCAGGCAATCCTCTTGCCTGTGTCTCCCAAAGTACTGGAATTACAGTGTGAGCCACTGTGACTGGCTTCTTTTTTCTTGACTGTAGATTTCAATAAATATTACTTTTTGTGAATGTATGTGATAAAGAGGAGAGGTTCATTTAATTTTCTCAAACCAGAATTAACTTCAATGCTTGCTTGCATTAATGTTATAATCCTGGGTAGGAATAGGTAGTTAATGGTAGAAAAACATGAGATGAATATCATAATTCAGACCTATTGTTTATGTTTATATTTTTTTTGTATTCTCCCCTCCTTTTTTTTTTTGAGTACTCCATTGCCCAGGCTGGAGTGCAGTGACACATTCATGACCACACCAGCGTCGACCTGCTGGACTTCGGCGATCCTTCTACCTCAGCCTTCCAGAACTACAGACACATGCTACCATGCCTGACAAATTTTTAAAATTTATTGTAGAGACAGGTCTCACAGTGTTGCCCAGGCTTGTCTCGAACCTACAGGCTCAGGCAATACTCTTGCCTTGGCCTCCCAAAGTGCTGGGATTACAGGCCTGAGCCACCGCGTCAGCCCCCCTTTTGTTTTTTAATAATTTAAGTGCTTTATGTTAAAGTGATACTTAAAATTTTAAGTAACATGAAAATGAATAAAATTTAAAAATCGCCATATTCTTTACCAACTGCCTGAAATTAACAAACATAAAGATGTTCACCAAATGCCATCGATATATAAAGGATGTCTTTGGTCGTCTATAAAATTTTTTTTTCCTCAGATAAAAGCTGAATGTCGGCTGGGCACAGTGGCTCAAGCCTGTAATCCCAGCACTTTGGGAGGTGGAGGTGAGAGGATTGCCTGAGCTCAGGGGTTCGAGACCAGCCTGGGCAACATGGTGAGACCTCATCTCTACAATAAATCAAAAATTTAGCTGGGCGTCGTGGCACATGCCTGTGGTTCCAGCTACTTGGAAGGCTGAGATGGAAGGATCACCTGAGCCCAGCAGGTTGAGGCTGTGGTGGCTGTGAGTGTGCCACTGCACTCCAACCTGGACAACAGAGTAAGACTTCGACTCAAAAAAAAAAGTTGGCCGGGCTCGGTGGCTCAGCCTGTAATCTTGCGCCTTTGGGAGGCTGAGGTGAGTGGATTGCCTGAGCCCGCGGGTTTGAGACTCGCCTGGGCAACTTGGCGAGACCTCATCTCTACAATAACTCAAAAAATTAGCCGGGCGTGGTAGCGTGCATCTGTAGTTCCGGCTACTCGGAAGACTGAGGCAGAAGGATCTCTGGAGCCCAGCAGGTTGAGGCTGCGGTGGCCGAGAGCGGTCACTGCACTCCAGTCTGGGCAACGGAGTGAGACTCCAACTCAAAAAAAAAAAAAAATTATGGTAAATGACATATTTCAGATGGTTTTTATTAGTAGGAAGACTGATTGCAAGACTTTCCCTCTTTACATACCAGGCAACTGTCCCAACCTTACCCACATACAGCTTTCAAAGGTGCCTGAGGATTCTAGTTCCTGTCTTAGGGTATTTTCAGACAGTTTCTTATTGAGGTCTCACCTGCAGGCAGCAGGTATGAGAAAGCAAAACTCCTATCATTGTTTTATGTGCCTCCTACCTTCCAAATCTCACTGATGTTATTTTTTTCTACCCTTGTAGATTTAGATCTTCCTTTCCTGTTTTCAGTATCTTAGAGGAAGCAAATAATGCTTTACATTATAATGAGTGGGCTACTTGATTTTGTTTTTTAGTCGTTCCCACTCAGTTTTCTCTGTTACAATACATATGAAAGAAACTACAAATGATGGAGAAGAGCTTGTTAAAATTGGGAAGTTGAACTTGGTAAGCATCTATTTTAATACTACTCTTTCATTCTTAACTTCTTCACTGAGCATCTTGGAATTTTGAACATATAGACAAAATTTTTATAGTTATGTGGTTATTAGCATTGTAGTGGGAGAAAAAATTTATTATAGAAACATTATTTTGCTGGCTATTTAATATATTATGTATAATTTGAGAATGGGCGTCTTTGAATCCAAATCCAGTAGACTTTTCCTTTTTATTTTTAAAATTAAAGGTTGATCTTGCAGGAAGTGAAAACATTGGCCGTTCTGGAGCTGTTGATAAGAGAGCTCGCGAAGCTGGAAATATCAATCAGTCGTTGCTGACTTTGGGAAGGGTTATTACTGCTCTTGTAGAACGAACACCTCATGTTCCTTATCGAGAGTCTAAACTAACTAGAATCCTCCAGGATTCTCTTGGGGGGCGTACAAGAACATCTATAATTGCAACAATTTCTCCTGCATCTCTCAATCTTGAGGTAAGCTCTTTGAAAGGAAGCTGGAAGTATAGTAACTGTAATCCTTAGTTATCATTTACTTTAAAAGACCTGCTGGTCTCCGGTGAGTCTTCTGCCTCAACCTTCCAAGTAGCTGGAACTATAGACACACACCACCATGCCCAGCTAATTTTTTATATTTTTTTATTTTTTGAGTTGGACTCTCACTCTGTTGCCCAGACTGGAGTGCAGTGGCCGCTCCCGGCCACCGCAGCCTCGACCTGCTGGGCTC